CCCCCCTCCCAGAGGCAAAAAAAAAAAATCTTTTTCTACAAGGGCAAAAAACCCAATATGTGGATTTTTTTGTACCCAAAAAAAAAAAAAAAAAAAAAAAAAAAAAAAAAAAGTAAGTAAATAAATAAATAAATAAAAATAATGGCAAAATATAGTAAAAAAATAGTAACTATTGTCAACAAAATAGTAAAAAATAATAAAAATAGTAAACAATAGTAAAAAAAATAGAAAAAATTTAAAAAGTAAAAAATAAAATAGTAAAAAAAACCCAGAAAAGTAATTTCAAGCACTCTGCTCCTGTCCCCCGGGGACCCAACTTCCCTGGTCACACCCCATTGCTGCAGGGGGTCCCGCCAGAGTCTGGCCAGGATCTGCTTTGGAATCACTCCCTGACACTGGGCAGGGGACAACTCTGGTCCCTAGGCAGCTGCTTTCCAGCCCAGGTGACTGTGTGAGCAGAGAGCCAGGGCTTGTCAGCTGAGCCCTGCACGGGCCAAGCAGGATGTCGCCCTGGCGAGAGCTATGACTTTGTCTGAGAGGCGCCCTGGGGTCTCAGGGCAAACACAGGTGGTCCTCCCTCCAGGCTCTCGAGTTTACTAGACGGCATGGGTCCCTGACCTCTTCCCCTTCGTCTTTATTCTCAGGGCTCCGAGCGCTGCCGGGGTCCTAGTGGAGGAGGAAAGTTCACGCTCTTGTCACATTGAGGGAGAAATGTCATCACCCGAGAGCACTGGCACCGTAATTCAGTTAGACTCTTCAGTTTTATAAACATAACACGCTTTCGGGTCAACTGGACAGAGTCTGAATTCAGCAAACGGGTCTCAGCACCCATTCCACGTGGGGCCAAGTGCACATTCCTAGCAACACGACGTGGAGCTTGGTTTCAACAGCTTCGCGGGTCCAGTGGGGAGGCAGCCCCGTGTGTGGGTGCCCGTGTTATCGCTGTCCTTAGAGCACCAGTGGGCCCTGAAATCCCGGCCACGCCTCCCGCTTGTGTGACCAAGGGTGCTCAACTCTGTCTGGAAATGCGGCTTTTAAACACCGTTTCCCGTATCCCTAGGGCTCTCTCAGAAGTCTACTTGGAGCAGAACTCCATCTCCGGAGGACTGAAGTTTCCTTGGGAGCTGTGCCAAGGGCAGGGAAGGGCAGTAGACGAGAGCTGGGGAGCCGGACTCCTGGTCAAAGTGCTGGGGGCTCAGAGCTGCGCCCAAGGCTTTCCAGGAGTGACATGTCATGGTGGGGGGGGGCGGGGGTTCTGCTCTGAACTATGGACGCACACAAAAAGGAGAGCTCCACATCTCCTTTGCACAGAAGCAAGGATACGCTGTAACTGTAGTTAGCATATATGCATCTGTCAGTAAATCTGAGCTGGGAGACGCCATCCAGGGGTCAAGGGCATCCTCCCTGCCCCATGGGCACATGGGGAGTCAGTCTTGCACGTGACCTGTTTCCAACCTCACAGCCTGGTGTCCTGTGGGCAGATGGTTCTCCCGACCTGTGGTAAAGCTGCCATGCAGAGACGGCAGGTGCACCCCCAGGCTCAGGTCTCCGGCCAGCAGACGCTGATCGAGCACCAGCTCCGAGGCTCTGGGCCCGTCCGGGGGCAGCCGTAATGCTTGCTTACGTTACAACAGTGACCAAAACATGGTGGCCTAACAGGGGTCTGCTTTTTACTCCCCAGGTGGTGGCTACGTTGGGGACCACGTCCTGCTGCTCGTTTGACAATCTCCTAGAAGTGGGTCCTATCTGTAAGTATCTGATCGGATGTTCTTCTGGAAAACGTTCTTGATGTACGAAGACTTTAGTGGACCTTCTTCCTTGGGCTCTCCTTCTTCTACTACTAACAACAGGATTCAGGGTCATATTACAATATCATAATACATGTAGATAGTATAAAGCATAATGTAATGGGAAGGTCATATAATAGTAACTTCACATTCCTCTGCTTTGCTAGATGCATCCTCTATTTGCAATGGCATAAATCTCATTAGCTTGAAATCCACATACCCAGAAATGCGGCCTAATTGCACCAGCGCTAAGCTTGCCTCAGCCAACATGCTATCGGTAAGAAGCAGCTCTTGCGTGCCGTGCAGCGTGGCCACAATCCTCCAGGGCTCCGTTGTCCCCCCTACCTGCCCCAAGAGAACAAAGTCAAACTCTTTGGGAAGCCCCATGGAGTTCGTGTTTCTGTAGGACTTGATGGTTACCCATCTTTGCACAGAGCCCGGCGTGTCTTCATCAGCCTTTCTGGAATGACTGAATGCAGTTAAGCAAATTACCTTACACGATTAAGCAGATCCAAACACAAACCTTGGATTTCTCCGGAGAAGGACCAGCTTGCTGGGCCTTTTGGGGCCGCACTCCCCTCCGGCCTCCGTCACGGCACACGGGTGGCCTTCCAGGGGGATGCGGAGTCAGAGAATCCCAAAGGGGAATGTGAGTAAGGACTGGGCTTCTGAAGTTGCCACCTCAGCCCACAGCTCTGACACCCAGCGGGTCCAGGAAGGATTTCTGTGACAGAGACCTTCTCTCGGGCAGAGACGTGGCTTCATGACCCTCTGCCCCTATTCTCGGGGCATACGGCACCCACTGCCCCAGGACCACAGGGCTGGTCATCAGGGTGCTCTGGGGTCCCATGGAGATGGTTCAGGCCCCAGACTGCATCCCTGTGGCTTGTGCTAGACAGCACACCACCCATGGGCAGCGGCCCCCCAGCCCCGTGTGTGTCACCCCCACCTCTCCTAATGGGGATCCACCTGTGCCCATGCTTGGGCAGCAGGGTGGGGCTCGGCTTGGTCACAGCAGCCCCCGCAGCGGCCCAGGCCGGCCCTTTCAAGCTGTGGGCCCTCCCATTCCAAGCTTCGCATCCCCACCTTAAGGCACAAGAGTTGAATGTCAGTCCTTCCCTCACAGGGCTCTTTAGAGGTGAGTTCAGGCACAGAAATCGTGGAGAACCAGGGTGGAGGCAGGCGTGCCCGCAACCGGCCGTGCCCAGGGGCTGTGGGTGTGGATGTGCCTGTTTGCACCAGTTTCCCTGCAGCATGTGTGGCCGGCGGCCGACGGCGGTGAGAGGAGCTGGCTGAGGGCAGTGATACAGAGCCCAAGGCTGGGATGAGGGACACAACCGAGGCTCAGGCCAGCGGTTTGCCCACTGCAAACACTGGTGTGCCCAGCCAAGCCGCTGGGCGCCCCTTTGACTCAGATGTCAGACTGGGAACTGGAAGTCCTTGACGGGGACTGGCTGATGTCACGTCCGGGGCTCTCAGATTTACAGGGCCAGAGCTCATCGGCAGGGCAGAGCCCTGGCTGTCCAGCCAGCTGATGGCCCAGGGGAGGCAGTCGGTGTTCACAGAGCCCCGGGGAGTGGGTGATCCAGCCCAGGCTGTCCTGCGTCCTGGAGCTCCCTCTGCTCCCCAGATCCCGGAGCTGTGGGAATAGTGAGCTCCGTGATGGTCACCAAATACGCAGCATTCACACAGGGCTGCTCTGGGATTCCGAGAGGACTCCGTTCTCTGTTACGGCTGGAAAAAACTGTTAAAACGATACGGTCAGTTTTTCATCCACTGTGATTTGACAAAGACGGTATATGCCAGAAGACCGTTTTCTCCAGACTGCTGCTTCAGGAAAGACACTTTTTTCTTGGATCTTTTTAAAATGACTCGCCAGAGAGAGACTTGGTCCCACTTGGTCCGCTTGGATGAATCAGTGGAGGCTTCCAGCCGGTTTTCTTGGAGAGAGGATGAAATGCAGAAAGCCGGTAGTTGAAGGCGACAGGGGGGAGGTGCGACAGTGGGGAGCGGAAGACGGGGTCCAGGGGAGTGAGGAAGGGTAGCAGGGTGCACAGGGTAGCGAAAGCCCCACCCAGCGGCACTGGGATGGTGGGGGGGTTGCCCCTCACGACACAGGAAGAATAGAGGGACCCCAGTCCCTCAAAGACTGCCCTCACTTCCAACACGTTCCAAAACCACCCTCAGGTTCAGTAATCTGCCAGAAAGACTCACAGAACTCCCTGAAATCACCTAGGTGTGCTGTACTGCAGGGAGCAGAGGCATGGGACAGAATGTGGGAAGGGACCAAACTCTTGTCTTCTCCCTTGAGGTTGTGCACAGCTAGGTCCCCTCCCAATTATGGTGACAACACACAGAGAGTGGGAGCCCCCGTCCCCTGCCACAGAACCTCACCGAGCCTGGAGCCCAGAGTTCGACTGGAACTGTCGCTGACCTGTAGTCTCCAGCTCCTCAGGGGAGGTGCAGCTAATACCTTCCATCCCTAGCTCCTGCAGAAGTCCAAGCGAATACGGCCCAAAGCTACCATCATATATCCTGCTGATGCACCTTCTGGGGGCCAAAGATCCAGGCAGGAAAGGACTCCTATGAGGCAGAGCACTCCAGGGGCTAGAGGTCACCTCCCTGGAGCCAAGGGCAAAGGTCAGAGCTCTTCTGGAGTAAAGTTATGAACCCACAGCTCACCTTCCCCTGGTGTACCTCATTCCCTTCCCTCCTCAGCACCCCATCCCTGTCTTTCCTTCCCGTTGCCCCTCTCCGGGTTTCCCACACATTCTGGGGTGGATTGTGGTTTTTGCTGTTAGCAAGCATTCCTCTCACAAGGATGATGGCTGAGGGAGGAAAAGAGCCCCGTCTGCTGCTTCTGGAACCTATTTCCCTTCCTCCTGCCTTCATGGCCCGTGTCCTTCCTGACTCGTCTGCCTGTGCAGGCCCCGGGGTCCTGCGTTGCCTCACCCCTGCCCTCGACAGTTCTAAACCGGACAGAGACGATTGGAGTCTCAAACTCCACGCGTGTGCCTTGAACAGAAAAGGAAGTGCCTTGACTGGTGGTCCGAGGGCGGCCACATGGCCCCATGGAGAGCACAGCCTGGATCTGCGGCTGCTGCCTGTCCTTGGAGAGCCCCTGAGGCTTCTGTGATGCACAGAACCCTCGGCGCCCAGCAGCAGAGCCCTCCAGCAGGAGGAACATGGCCTGTGGCCAGCATGGGTGAGCTGCTGTCTCGAAGCAGAAATCCCATGTCGTCAGGAGGCTCCATGCTCTGGCCGCATCCACCCTGAGATGCCCACACACACCCTCAACCCCTCCGCCCACGAAACACGCTTTGGGGTGCTCACACGCCAACCACATCGTGACCCTCCGAGGCCGTATCGAGTGTGCCGGGGGAAGGCATCTGGTCTGGATCCAGCCGAGGGCCTTGATCCCTCCCGTCAGAAGCTCAAAGAGAATCAAAGCTTTGAAACGCCTCTTAGAGCTTGTATGAGCAGGGCTCAGAACGACTCTCCACTCCTCAGGGCATGGTGCAGGGCTAGCGAGCGTCACCCACGGAAAGGTGAACCTTGCATCCGTCCGCCGTCACACATGCACGTGCCTGGGGCTCAGTGAACCCTCCAGGCGCTGCCCTGGCCCAGTTCGGGCAGGACAGGACAACTGCTCCCCATCAGAACACCCCCAGCCTTCCACGGTTATGGATTTCATGACAGGCCTTAAGTGCCCAGCACACAGGAGGAACCCAACACGGCGCTCGCGTGTATGTGTCACCGGCCTCGGGCCTGGCGTCACGATAGGAGGCTATGGGTGTCATCTGGTCTCTCCCCGAGGTCCCAGGTGCTATGTTTGTGTCCGTTTGCCTGCGAGGGAGAATGAGCTTGAAGGGGCACAAGGCCGTCCAGCTGCGGGGTGGCTGGAGGCCGGGGTCAAACCCCGAGAGTATCAGTCAAGGAAGCTCATTTAATCAGACACTTTCGCCTGCAAGGAAGACGTGGTCCCTTCCTGCTAGGCGATTCTGGCAAGGCTGGAAAACACAAATCACATTCACGAAGGAGCCTGGGATGATTGCAGGTAGCAGAGAACCAACAAATATACTTCGTGTCGAGATGGACACAGTGGGGAGGGGTGCGGATAGAGGTCGCTGGGGCTGTGCACCCCGCCATTCCCCAAGGAGCTTGTGGGATGGGTTAGCCAGGAAGATTAGGAGGAAATTCCCGGTGGGTGAGATGGGAGAAGGCTGAGAAAGGGGTGTAACTGGAATGAGTTTGTGTGAGGGACCCCGAGGGATCGCCCACACTGGTCCCTTCCAGCGTGAGCATCGACCTTCACGTCAAGCAGGGAAGCTGATCCCAGTTTCCTCATCTTCCTCGCCATCCCTGAGCACCTGCTCTCTGCTAGTGCCGTCTGGGGCCAGCTCAGGACCTCTGCCCTCAGCTTCCTTGTCTTAGACCCCGGGGAGCCTGTTAGGGCCCAGAACCAGGCCAGCAAATGCACTCATGAGAGCCCTGGCTGGGGTGGGGTGGTCCTCGGGCCCCCGTGGGCAGGGCATTCCCTGGGAAGCTCACCAGCCGCCTCTGGTTTTTAGGTAACGAGGAGAACATGTGGCTACACATCGATGCTGCGTATGCGGGCAGCTCCTTCATCTGCCCTGAGTTCCGGCATCTTCTGAATGGAGTAGAGGTGGGTGTGCTCTTTATCTTTAATAAGATCATTAAAAAAAATTTTTTTTTTAAGATGCATTTATTTATTTTAGTGGGGAAGGGCAGAGGCAGAGGGAGAGAGAATCCACAAGCAGACTCTGTGCTGAACGTGGGGTCTGACGGGGCTGGATCTCACTGCCCTGGGATCATGATCTGAGCCAAAAACCAAGATTCGGCCGCGTAACCCCCTGAGTCACCCAGGCACCCCTCTCTTTACTAGGGTCCCTCTTTGAAAGTGTCATGTCATCAGTGACTTCTCCTTACAAGGCTGTGACACACCATTTGTTTTAACAACTTACTTCCAATCACATTCTGTGATTATCAGAAATCATATTTCCTTATAAGGGGGGTTGAGAATCTGCCCAGTCATACGACTCACCTTCTGGAAATTATACCTGACGTTGGGCACTCTTTCTCCCTCTGCACAAATTCTGGGCAGGCTTCTCATGGTAGGATACATTTTAGCTTCTGCAACCGTGGGGAAATATTTAGGAAGAAAATAAAATCTTAATGCCTTTCAGCTCAAGAGGTCAGGGATAAAAGCAACCTGCAATTTTCTTCGATCTCATTCAGGATGACAGCGTGGCCTGACCAGGCCCCTGAGCGTGGTTTATTAGTTTAACAGATATTGAATGAGCAGCCACAGATGCATTTAAACGCCCTACACCACTTTCGGAATTTGGAAACCGTGGCCCGTGATGCCCACGGAAACGCCTGCTGCTTTTGAGAAATAGTCATCAAAACTATTAACCCAATACTCTGCTTCTCCACGGGGCTTCCAGGGTAATGGGGTGCAGACTTAATGCAGAGAGATGACATTATGGGGGTGCCCTGACATGCCAGTTCAGGCTCAAGCAGAATGTTCCTCCAGCCAGGAACTCCACTGCAGACACAATAGAGGGTCCAGAGAGACAGACTGCAGGGAGACCAAGGGAAGGAGACAGTGAGAGGAGCCTCGGTTCTGGCTTTATGCTCATAGGCAAGGGTTTCATGAGACCCCGGGCCACACCCCGTGCAGGGACTAAGGGCACGATCCTTGGCATTAAGCGACTGTTTGGACGCCAGCTCTACCCGGGAACTAGCTGTGTCCCTCTGGGTAGCTTAGTGGCGTCTGTACACTCTGGAAAGTGGATTTAGTAATGATCTTTCCTTGGAGGGGTTGCTGTAAGTACCCAGAGTTAATCATGCTTAAAGTGCTTAAAAACAACGTCAGGCCCACGGTGAGTCCCTCTGCGTGAGTTGGATCCTTTTATTATCTTTCACCACGGCTGCCAGGCCTGTCCCGGGGAACCTCTCTCCGCTCTCCTGTTATGCTGCCAATTAATTTTCTAATTGCTAATTTGGATCCCCATCATGTCGCAACACCAGAAAAGTGAGTGTCGGGTATAGAACACAAATATTCCCATCTCGGGAAAGAGTTGCCTCCCCCTCCCCAGTTGCTGATGAATGAAATAGCATTTGGTCCGTGTCTCCATCGTGTCCCTGGATGTATGAAGCCTCCCTCACTCTCTGATTACTTATGGATCCCTGAACATGCCCCAGACCTCAGCTCAGGGCTGGGGAGAGGCTGGTAAATGCGGCTTCCAAAGGCGCCGGTCAGCAGGAGGCAGGGGGCTTTGGTGGCGTGGGAGAAGTTCTGCTGAGCACGCGGACACCCTGCTCCGTGTAGCTCATTGCCGGGAGCTGGGTTTGTGGGTGTTATGAAAAGTTAATCTCTATACCATATGAATGAGTCCTATTACAGAAGTGATGCTCCTGACTGGGAAGGTCTGTCTCAGCACCTCAGGGACGGAGGGCAAAGCCTTCAGCGGGGATCTGTGAGCCTGCCCCCAGCATCTGGTCTGTCCAAGCATCAGGTTAAGGATTGCGCAATCTTTCCCCACCACCGCTCTCCTCCTCCCTGTGATCCCAGGACCTGGGATCAGCTTTCACGAGGGGTGGGGTGACGAACCGTCTTGCCCACCGCAGTGCCGGGCACTGGAGCACGATGGTATCAGCAGCAGACGGGATTTTCATGCCCGGCGCTGAGTCATTTCCGTGTCTCCCGCATTATTCCTTGCGGGGCGAGGGCCTGGCTCCTCAGCTGGGGAGATAAGGCGGCTGCAATTTCCTGCCGCGTCCCCAGCCCGGAGATAAAAACTCCTCTCTCTGCCAGCAGGACGAGCACACAGCGGTTGGGTAATGAAGGAGGATTAAACAGATCAGCCCCCCCCCACCCCCAGGGAGCTAATAAAATTCTCGGCAAACAAAGCTCTTCTTTCACATTTTGTCTCCGTTTATCGACAAATGAAACGCATTGTCATTTCCTGTCTCTTTCTCACAGTCGCTTTTATTGAAACGTGGAAGGAAATGAATCTGCTTTCCCAGAGCGGGTTGACGCGCGAGGTCGCGGTCGGCCGAGCAGATGTCTCCCTGGTGGCGGGGGCTCCCATCCCGGGCTGCACCCGTGGGCCTCCAGCTGGCCCCGGCCCCAGCTCAGCATCCCAAGGATAAAGCTGGGCATGCATTTTGAAGAATGCAAGATAGCACGATTTGGGATAGCCCCATGAAAACGCCCAGTGCCCTCCTCAGATGGTCTCTGTTGTTGAAATCCGATTTTCTGCTTGGAAATAGGGCAGCCCCGAAAATCAATGAGTCAACGCCCGTTGTTGGCCGTTGCTACACATTGTCTTCCAGGAATTGTCTTCCATTACTGATAGGCGTGCAATGAACTTGGATATAATCTTTAAAAATAAAGAAGGAAATATTTAGGTATGTGGGAAGATTTATTGATGACTGCATTAGCATTCGTAAAAGAACCAACCAATTAAATAAAAATTGGGGAGATCCCAGTTTTAGGTATGACATTTTCACCCTCCCTTTGCTTAGGATGAAACGTGTATTCTGAGAAATTTGCTAGTTCCTGAGTTTTGAGGGAGGGGCAGGCAGAAAGTATTTTGTAGGCCAGATCAGTACAATTTCCTGCATGGTATCTATGGATTCAAATTAGCATTATTCCAAAGAGTCTAGTAGTTTGAAAGGTAGATACATGTTATATGACTCTAGACTATGCAAATTTGAAAGTGTATGACCTGAAATATGGATGACATCTCATTTCACGAGGCAAGGGAGAACTGGGAATTTTCCCAATTAAAAATGAGTAGGGACTCATGTGGCTTCAGAGCACCCCCAGACCCATGAGCTGTGTCGCTATTGCTGCTGGGAGCGGGTGTCTCCTCATAGGGGAAACAGCAGCCCTCCTCGTTTTCTCTTGGGGTTGCCCTTAGATTAGGCGTTGGGGTTCTGCCTGTTTTGAATTATCCAAGGTCCTCAAAATACATCCTCTTGCTTCAAACGTGATAGCCCTATACCAAGTCAGGATTAACACAGAAATAAAAGGGAGTGGTAACGGGAAGTTTCGAGATTAGCACATTCCAGTCCCTCATTTATAAATTCTCATAGACTCATCCCACCGAGGGCCCTCGGCCAGACAGTGGGAACACTAAGGCCAGAATCTGGGACTCTAAGTCCACAGCCTATGCTCTTTTCATGGTAAAAAGAATGGAATTCTTCAGTTTACTCTTCAGATGAACTTTCTGGACGTCTCCTGGGTGCCTGGCATTGCATCCCAAGGACGGCCAGTGGGCCAGATGGCCTTCATGCTCAGCATCTGTGGGGTGACCCTCTGTAGGCTCCTCCAGCCTGACTCAGCAGGTCCCACTCCTCCCCAAAGCAGCGAGGCCGGTCACCGCTACCCTATGCTCGTTTTCACATTGCATCCTGACGACTGCTCTCTGGTAGATGATCCCCCTTCACCACGAGTTGCTGGGAGTCAGTAGCCATCACTGTGGTCCCTGGCTTACCACCTACAAATCTTAATAACCACACATCAGCAACAGTCCCGGCACAGCCTTCGAACCAGAGCGTGTATTCCATGTCAGGACCCGGGCTGAGGGGTTCGTGGCTGTGAGGATACCACGATTTCCTCATAAAGCAGCCATTCCCATTCTGGTCCACACGGAGCAAGCTGCTGAGCTGCCATCAAACCCTCCTTGCTTTGTGCGTCCGCCCAGAATCAGTTCCGTTACCAGCTCCACGCGTTCATGAGCTCTGATGTGTTCTTCTGCCTTGAAAATGAGCACAGAGCGGTGCAGAGAGGCCAGGTGGCCGCCCAAGCCCGTTCCAGAGCCCGGACCTCGCAGCTGCCCTTGCGTCCCCAAGCCCCACGGCCTCGGTGACTTCCCCCCCGCATGGCCTTACACTCGTGAAACAAAATGGTTAATCACTGGTGTGGAGTCTTGTTTTATAACTAGACATTCGTAACCGAAACGTCTTCTTGTCGTTACTATGCCTTGGCAGTTTGCAGACTCGTTTAACTTCAATCCTCACAAATGGCTCTTGGTGAATTTCGACTGCTCGGCGATGTGGTGAGTCTCCCCGTTGGCTAGATGCCCATGACCTTGTGCCCACTGCGCTTGACAAGAGTGGCTTTCTGGGGAGGGAGCCCGGGAGCGGGGGATGACATCACTGGAGGAAGGCGTACCTCCCTTGCGCCCCGCTTGCCTCCCTTCTGATCCATGGCCGCGATTCTTGCTAACTCTTGCCCTGGTGGGAAGCTGTTGACCAGATCATGGGATTGCAACACGGCAGTCACGTAACAAAGGTCCTTCGGGGAAGCTCGGTGGCTGGCTCTACTAGCGTTAACAAAAAGAACGCAAGGAAATCGCAGGGCATATTTCTAAGTCGGTGGCTTCTGTGTTTCCCTTCTTAGATGCTGAACGACTCTAAGCCTCGGGGTTTAAAAGCATTTGCCCAGGGAAATTAAGAGTATCCCTGTTTCCCATGAAATTGTTAATAGCGGAGCTGTAACCGTGTTGGTTGTATTTAGAGCAAGAAAAAGAACTCAGAAACTTCAGTGGATGACATTTGCATCGCGTAGATGATGTTCAAAGAAACAGAGGTCACTGGGAGTGGTGTGGGGAGAGTGGAAGCTGGTTCCACTATGTTCATTACGGGAGGAAGGAGGTTCATCAACCTTTAGATTGGGGAGGGGGGTGCTTTGCATGAATTTTGTGCAAAATCATTCGCGTGTAATTGAGTGAGTGATTTTCACCTTGGAGGGGTGAAGAAAGCAGTTCTTACTCACCCCACCCAAGGTCTGTTCTTCCCGTTTACTGAGTGATCCGGGCTTTTTTTTTGACTATTTCGTCCAAAGATAAAATCACATTTTCAGTGCTTTACTAAAAAAAAAAAAAAATTCAAATCCATTCTTTTTTTTTTTTTTTTTTTTTGGGTCAGCCTTTGACCCAAACTTTGATATGTGCTTTTAAAGCCCATGCGGGCATGAGCATTGCAGACGTAGCTCTGTACAAAACACGAGTAAGGATCTCTACAAGCTACAGTCTGTGCACATCCGTGTTCCTTTGTATTCTCAGGGCTGCATTTGTCTATTTTATTTAACGCGGAACAGTTGAAGAATAGCGTGTGCAGTGTGTCAGAAGCCCATTTTCGAGCTTTAATTGGGACTGAAATGTAATTCTGATCTGCTGGTGTATTTAGTCAGATTGTGGGTCCTGGGCACAGAGCTGGCACAGGGCCAGAAGGGGCTGTGCTGCCTCTGTTTTGGGGAGAGGTAGTGGCCTCAGCGTGAGCGGACCGGAGAGCCCACAGTGTCCTTAGTGGCCAGCAAGGTGTCAGACCAAGAAAGTCACACAAACAGCCTGGAGGGTTGTCGGGGGTGAAGTGATGGGGACCAGGAGGGCTGTTGGGCGGTGCTGGCCAGAGGGGCTTGTGGTTCACCCAGACATTTCACTCCTTACCTGGACAAAATAATCATTTCAGGTGTAGATGTTTAAGGGAGGTCTGGAGGGCTCAGTCGTTTAAGCGTCTTGACTCTTGATCTCAGCACAGGTCTTGATCTCAGGGTCAAGCATTTGGGGACACAATCTGTGATCAGACATTGAGCTATGATAAGAATCAATACAAAAACGTGGCCTCCCGTCCTTGGGTCCAAAAAGCTAGTGTATCAGTTAAGGACGAGAGAGGATGGTTGCGTCCCTGGCGTGGGGGAGAAGGGTCTGAGCCCGTCACAGGGTGTGGTGTGACCAGAGCTGCTCTGAGGTGACCTGTGGGAGAGACGCAGGGAGCGCAGGGGTGAGGCCATGTCACCAGGAGAAGGGCAGAGGGGAGGCTTATTGTCTGCCGAATAAAATTACACGTTAAATGTCAGGGCGAACCCTGGTATTCGCAATTTTGCCCCAGAGAAGGGCAGTTAGTAGGGGGTCCATGGAGAAGATGGGAGTCAGTGCTTGAGAAGCTGTCTGCCTCCCCCCTGCGCATCTGAGAGCCTGAAGGCTTGCCTCACGGTTCGAATTGTGAGAGAGGATGTGCTTTCTGGGTCCTGAGTGGCTGGGGTCCTGGACAGAACAGTTGTGGAGGATTTCAAGGTGATTTCACGCATGTGGGGAAATCCGTCCTCCCCCCAGACCCCAGGGTTCATCCCGCGATTTCATAAACACGGGACAGGATCTGATGTTGAAGGATTTGCATTTCAGCATAAAGACGGCTGCTGTCTGCTGTGTCAGCCACCGCGCTAGGAACTCTGTGACACAGACAGAGACTTATTTCCTCACGACTCTGGAGGCTGGACGCCAGAGACCAAGGGGCAGCCAGTGCTGGTTTCTGCGGATGCTGCTGTGTGGTGTGCCGACAGCAGTCGACAGTCCCTTCTGGGTCCTCTTGTAAAGACAGTGGTGACACACCAGTCACGTTGGATTAGGACCCGGGCATGTGACTTCATTTTGACTCATTTTGCCTCTTTAAAGACCCCGTGTTCACATGCGGCCACATTCGGGGAGTTAGAGCTCCAGCCTCTGAATTTTGGGGAGGAGGACACGGCTCAGTGCATAGTGGTGCTCGTGAGAAATTACAAGATAAAACCGTAAGGCTGACATTCAGGGATTTCAACCAGTTATTTTAAACCCTACATATGACCTTAATTATGCCACGTACGTCCTGGTCGGCTTCTCTGATTCTTATCAAACTTAGGTTTTATTCTGATCTCACTATACCCAAGCACCCCTCCTGTGTGTGTGTGTGTGTGTGTGTGTGTGTGTGTGTGCTTGTTGTTGTTTATTGTGTGTTTTTTGTTTTTTTGGTTTTTGTTGTTGTTGTGTTTTGTTGTGGTTTTGTTTCCTATAGAGAAGTTGCTCTCTCCTTTCGAAGGGATGATAATTAGCATTGCCTTGCTTGCAGATGGCCCTTCTCACAGCCGTCCCCACCGTGGGGGCTGCACAGTGGAAATACTGGCAGAACAGTGTCCGAGTTGGGGGTCAGCCCTGTCCAAACCAAGAGCAACGAGGAGGAGGAAAGGTCATGACTTCATTGGAAAGCATTTGGTGTTAAGCACCCTGGAGCTGAGACCAGAGCGGTGTTGTCCCTGTGCCCTAGGGGTCTCAGCCTTGGGACAGAGTTTCCAGTAAATGACATGGAGCCAAAGTAAAACAAGAAACTACACAAAATCAAGTATAGGCCATTGTAGATTGAGGTCCAGCGGGGGAAGGGTTTGGGAAGAGAGAGGGCAGAGGTTCAGGTAAGAAGCTTGGGGGACCTGGGAACTGGAAGGTAGGGGGAAATGTGTGAGGGAGATGCCTCCATGGTCCCATTCATTCATCACCTGGTTATTGCAGAGAGAAAGGTCACAGAAAGTCTTTTTGGTGACATGGCATTTGACAAAGGGCCATGTGAGGTGACTGACCAAGCAGTCAAAGGCTCCTTTGTACTGTCCCAAATATCTACAGACTCCAATACGAAGGTTTTGCTATTCTAAGAGCTTATTGCGGTAAAATGTGGTGTCAACACAATAGGAAACAGGTAATAAGACATTTCTAAGAACCAGGTTTCAGAAAGGATAGGCATCCCATTAGATCCCTAAGAGCTGAGAACAAACAATCCTAAATTCCAAATTTTTTATAGATATATCTGAACTTTTGCTAGTACAACAAGTATGATATAAATGTGTGTGTGTGCATGTGTTTTAGTGCTCTCACTGGCTATTTGTATTCTTTAAAATCAGAAGAGTCTCTCTTTTGTGTAATGCAATTTTACCAATGGTTAGTCTATAATTTAAAGTAAACATATTGGTTATTTTCTCTAAATATTGAAATGGACAAGATAATTGGAGTCTCGAAAACTTGCAATCATTATAAGCATAGTAAATCCATTTCATAACGATTTCATTATTCTGTTCATAAGTTTTTTATTGTTCATTTGAATCTTGTAAATATGAGCCATTCTGCCCAGACCTCAGTATCTGCTTAACATCAGATTTTCTCCAAAGAATGCCTCAGAGTCCACCTATGCCAAGGGCATGTGTTCCTCTCCCTTTAGAAAGGGGCTTGGTGGGGCACCTGGGTGGCTCAGTGAGTTAAAGCCTCTGCCTTCGGCTCAGGTCATGATCCCAGGGTCCTGGGATCGAGCCCCACATCGGGCTCTCTGCTCAGCAGGGAGTCTGCTTCCCCTCCTCTCTCTCTCTGCCTGCTTCTCTGCCTACTTGTGATCTCTGTCTGTCAAATAAATGAATAAAAAATCTTTAAAAAAAAAAAGAAAAAAAAGAAAGAGGCTTGGTGTCTTTTTCCAAATAAAATTTGAGTTTTATCACAAGTAGTTTTATAGATTTTGCATTCTTCTGTTACACTGGGTTTCTTCCGAAGTTTAGTTTCTTGGGAAGATGGTTGATCACTCTGTTATGGCAAGATTGGATGCTAGAACTTGTTTTTTTGTTTTTGTTTTATGATTTTATCTATTTATTTGTCAGAGAGAGAGAGAGAGAGAGAGAGAGAGAACACAGGCAGGTAGAGTCGAAGGCAGAAACAGAGGGAGAAGCAGGCTCCCCACCGAGCAAGGAGCCCGATGCAGGACTCGATCGTAGGACCCTGAGATCATGACCCGAGCTGAAAGCAGCCGCCTAACCAACTGAGCCACCCGGGCATCCCTAGAACTTGTTTTATAAGCATTAATGCACAGTTTTCTGTGGATCTCTTTGGTTTCTTTGCACTTCAGTCCCAGGGCCCTTTCCCATCCTGAAGGCTTTTCTCCTTTGCCGGCACCAGGACATAACAGGAGCCCTCATTCTGTGAGCCTCACACACTCACACAGTATTGTAGGATTAGAGAAAGACAATGCAGATTTCCGTACAAGGCAGGAGTCCCCTCCCCTCAGCCCCAGGACCATCTCTCAGGAATGTGTCTGGAGTCAGGGAGACACCATCCTCACCATGAGGCCCATTCCGAGTGAGAGGACTCTGCTGCCTCCACAGTTTCCGTGTTTGCCCATGAGCACATGTGTGTGCATGCCTGCACATGTCTGTTTAAACAGCCTTCCTTCTACGACCCTGTCAACGTCATGCCCGACAGTGTCCACATGCAACAACCACAAACACATGTGAACAAAACTGACTCCAGAAGAAACAGAATGTATAAATAAACCAAAAAATCGTACAGCTTTTTTTTTTTAAGATTTTATCCATTTATTTGACAGAAAGAGACACATCAAGAGAGGGAACACAAGCAGTGGGGAGGGGTAGAGGAAGAAGCAGACTCCCATTGAGCAGGGAGCACAATATCAGGGCTAGATCCCAGGACCCTGGGATCATGACCTGAGCCAAAGGCAGCTGCTTAACCCACTGAGCCACCCAGTGCCTGAAATCTTACAGCTATTAAAGATGATTATATACAGCTCTTCTTAACATAGCTATATTTGATATAGTTATTAACAAAATTATTATCCATCAAAAGTTAAATTCTCATTCAACAAGAGCTTCCAAATTCTCCCAGCAGCAAACGCTACCAAGCTGTCAAGTATGTCAGTTTAATCATGAGCGGACTTCACAGAGAGCAGCAAGGATCACGCACGCCCGCTCTCATGCCATGAAGTTCAGGTTCCTTGGATTCCAAAACTGGATGAGAAGCTGGGAAAAAAAGCTACGGAGAAAGAAAAGAAAAGCAAGAAAGAAGAACAAAGTTTGTTTTGCTCACAGATTTAAATATGAAAATCTTGACATCAAATATTAGCATATAAAATTCCATGACGTTTAAGGGAAAAAAGACTGTATATTGTGACCCAAATGTATTTATTCCAGGGATGTGGAGTGGCTTAAAAATATTAGAAGGTTTTTCAATGTCATATGCTGTGTAAAAAGTCAAGGGGAAGAGAGTCATCATCATAGCAGGTGCAGAAAGAGCTTCAGGTGAAGTTCTCGGTTCAACTCAATTTCAGCAAACAAAAATTCTAGTAAAATAGGAACGGAAGCGAACTTTCTTATTCTGATGAAAGATATCTACCAAAAAATCTATAGTAAGGCCATTCTTAATGGTGACATATTGAAGGATGCCCTTTAAGATCAAGCCTTATTCTTATAAGGCTCCTCTAATTTATGTTCAGTTCAATTCTTGCTTTCCCAGCCTGCATAGAAAGAGACATAAGGAAGTAAAAGTATAAGGATTACAACAGAAGCCACCAAACTCCCATTATTCTCAGATGATGACTGCCTGCAGTTAAAAAAAAAAATTAATCAAAGTATTAGAAAAACACAACAAAATTTCTAGACATACATCATTAAGGCTTTACATATACAATAAACAGCATGTATAATGGAGGGGGAGGGACAGAAGGAGAGAGAGAGAATCCCCTAGCAGACTCCGTGCTGGGGGTGAAACCCAACGCCAGATCATGACCTGAGCCAAAACCAAGAGGGACACATAACGGACTGAGCCACCCAGGCATGTCAGCACGGGCAATTTTTTTAAATTGTATGTAGTATGGTAAATACTGTGTCTTTACGGTATTGTAATTTTGTACAATTTGTAATATTTGCACAATTTTGCAGTTAAATTGTAAGTAAAGAAATACCCTTTATAATAGCAGGATAAGACATAAGGTTAGGACAAAGGAAGGTACCAAAGGACCATAAGTTGTGCAGATTCTTGAGGGGGAAATACACAAGGATTGGGAAGCCCATCCGACGTCCTCGCTGAATGAGGGGTGTGCTGTGCTCTGGAGAGGGAGGCGGAGAGTCAGAGCCCAGTAACACCCGAGTAAGTAAGTATTCCTGGGACTCAGTGAAGCTGAGCCTAATATTTACAGGGGCCCAGAAGAGCCAAGGGAAACAGTCCAAGAACAGCGTGGCGGGGCTGTGCCCCATCCAACCTCCAGCATCGTATCCAGGAGCAGCCAGCACAGCTCAAGCCGGCCACAGCGGAGCACAGACCAGAGGGGACCACCCAGAATCAGCCCATGGGGATTGGGATTGTCATCCCTGCTCCTTCCGCAGCTTCTCCGATCTAATGCAGGCTATTAGAGGCAAATGACCTGGTAGGAAAAGGAACAAAAATGGTTTTTCACCCGAAGAAAACAGCAGGGGAGCGTCACAAATGCAAGGTGACTCCGCATCCTTAGAAGTCAGAAATGCGCATTAAAATCCCGCCGGGGACATTGTCAGTCGGGTCCGATGATGTCCCTCCGCACTGGCTGGTGTCCCGGACGCGGAACCAGAGGAGCTCGAGGCCACACTGCCTCGGACATGGCCTCGCCGTCCCCGTTTCTTGACAGGACATGAGTCCCAGGTGCCGTCCTCCAGGGCACCGGGTGGGGTGGGGGGTTGGGCAGTGCGGTCTGGCTCGCAACGAGGGACAAGCAAGAGGAGAAAGAGGAGAGTGGACAGCCTGTGGTCTGCTGGTGGGGCAGTCCAGAGAGGTGGCCATGTGAACTACATCTACACGGAAGCCCGGGTCAGAAGTGCAGGAGGACAGTTTGGAGACAAAAAGCAGGTCAGGGGAAAATAGACAGTGACGCCGTTCATCTTGAAACAGCTTCTGTTCGTGTTATGTTTAGAAACGTGCAGGGGACGCCTGAGTGGCTCCCTGGGTGAGGCGGCCGAGGATTCATTTCAGCTCAGGTCACCACCTCAGGGGACATCAGATCGAGTCCCCTGTGGGGCTCTGCGCCCAGCATGGAGTCTGCTTGAGGATCTTGTGTCTCCCTCTGCCCCTCTCCCCACTCACATGGGCACTCCCTCCGTGTCTCTAAAATAAAGAAATAAATCTCAAAAAAAGAAAAGAAAAGGAAAGAAAGACAGAAAGAAAGAGAAAGGAAGGAAGGAAGAAAGAAAAGCAAAATGATACCACAGAGCACGTGGGACTTTGTATGGAAGATTATGTATGGTAGAACTCGGCAGGGGTAGACCCACGTGCGCCGCATGGCCTCCTCCAGGCCCGGGGGGGATGGAGACACCCACTGAACTATGAGGTGGACATATCACGATGTCCGCCCTCTTGTGGGGCTTAAACCCCGAACACGTTTGCATTACGAAGGCAGTGCTCCAAGGTCGTCGTGAGCCTGGGTAGAAAGGGCAATGCGATCTTCATGTGTGGAGGACGGAGTTCTACCCTGTGCGTCATTCTGTCCCTCTCTAAGGCTTAGTGCAGAGCATTTGCCAGTTCAGGAAGACCAGAGAAAGCTCTTATGGGACATCCTCATAGGCTGCTGGGGGGGGGGGGTGCCCCGAATTCCTGCGTACACGTGCCTGAGGTCAGGTGAGATCCAGTTTCTTGTCCAGGGTCAAAGTCACTCATGCCCTGGACAGCTCACTATTGCTTACTGACAGAGTCTGTCTTTTGACCCTTTGTAGAAATAGCACTTGAATGACTTTCCTGCGTAAATCTGGCCTTCCCCCCGCCCTCACTGGTGAGCCACATCTTGCCTCAGTCTTTCGTCCCCCGGTTCTATCTTGCAGACACTCATCATGTCGTATTTGCTTTCAAGCTTAAGTGACCACCAGACTGGCATGTCTTCTCCAGTTTGCCCTTCGGACAGTCTGTTTGCCATCACACTGCTGCGAGATGGTGTCTGCGCCTGCCGGACGAGGCAGAGAGGCCATTATCATAGAGCTCAGACCTCCCGTCCCAGCCCAAATACGATATCCGACCCGAGCTCTCTGGGACCATCACTGTGTCCGGAGTCTGAGGGCGTCTCGTGTGGGACGACCTTCTCACCTTTAGCTTCTGTGCATCCCCCACACCCTCGTGAGGCCAGTCAGTGGCCAGGTGCTAGGTCTGCACAGAGCGCAGGGATGCGTGCTCCCCTCCTGGCTTTCCTCTCCTGACATCGTTCACCGGCTCTGCAGACACCAACTGGGTGTCCCATACCCGGATTCCATTCCGACGCTCAGTATCTGGAGTTATCGCAGACCCCACAGGTAGATGGGCTCCGTCTCGCAAGTCATGGGTCCGAGGGTGCCCATACTTCTATCCAACTTCTTGTAAAGCTGGGGCCTCCCAGGAGTCCCCTGCTCCCTCAGACTTGATGATCTGCTAGAATCGCTCATAGGACTCAGGAAGGCACCTCTCTTAGGTCTACTGATTTATTTATTTTTTAAAAATTTATTTATTTATTTATTTATTTGAGAGAAAGAGAGCATGAGTGGGAGGAACAGAGGGAGAGGGACAAGTAGACCGTCGCTGAGCAGGGAGCCCGATGACCAGCTAGCTCTCACGACCTTGAGATCATGACCTGAGCCGAAACCAAGAGCCAGACACTTAACCAACTGAGCCGCCCAGGCGCCCCATTTACTGATTTATTATAAAGAAAAGAAGTGAGCAGCCAGACGGATGAGATGGGTAGCCCAAGATATGGGTGTGGGTGGAGAACACAGAACTTTCCTGTCCCCCCCCCAGGGAAAGGCTCTGTCCCCACACATTGATGATTTCAGCAACGCCGTCCCTCGCCGCATAGGTATGATTGATTGAATCGTTGGCCATTGGTCACTAACTCAATCTCAGTCCTTCCCTCTCCCCTGATTCCCCAGAGGTTGGGGGTAGGGCTCAGCGTCTCACCCTCAAATCGATTTGGTTTTCCCGGCGCCCAGCCCCGTCCTGCAGCTCCCCAGGGGTCCCTAGTCACCGATCCTCTCATTGGCCTATGAGAGCCATTCTTACCCCTCAGAGTTTCCAAGGGTTTTAGCGGCTGGGTGCCAGGAACCAGGGATGAAAAACAAGTATTTGTTTTTTATTAGATGGCCCCCTCAAGTGCTTGGAGTCCTGGAGATTAATGTTTTATTGCAGTGGAGCTGGGGATGGTGGGCACACAGGTGAGGGACATGCTGACGGGCTGGGCCCGGGGAAGGGTCTTGAAGCAGGTGTGTCTGCACTGAGCCCACTGGAAGAGGGACCAGGAGGGAAGGGCCACGGGGGCCCATTCAAGGGTCTTCCTCATTAAGCACCGTCCTTTGTTCTCTGAAACCAGGGTGAAGAAGAGGACAGACCTGATAGGGGCCTTTAAGCTGGACCCCCTCTACCTGAAGCACAGCCATCAGGACTCAGGTAGGCCAGGGGCCTGGTTTTCTGCAATTTTCTGGGTTTGTTTTCAACAGAGCTGCATTTCTCCTGGAAGCCAGAGAGGAAGGCTCGTGTCTATGGGGACCAGCCTCTGGGAGTCGCTGTTTCCTGGGGTTGGGGGTTACTGGAGGGACCTCTGGCCACCTCAGTGCAGGAGCCGGGGAGGGGCCCATGGGGCTGTGGGTGGGCACGGCATCGCTTTCAGTGCGGGTGTGGACCCCTCCTGTGTAGGACCTTTGAGAGCATGACTGCCCTACCGTCTCTCTGAGCATGTGTCCACTCACACCAACACCACCAGGGGGACACGGGGTGCGCTGGGGGCTCGGGGAGTGAAGTGAAACCCTGATGATGCCCAGGCAGGGTCAGCGCGTCCATGTGTCTCTCTCATCCTTTGGGTCTTTAGACCTGCCCTCTGTGCCCATCATCCCTGGTGGGACCCAAGCCATCTCCAGGCCTGCATCCTGGCTCTGTGCTTCCTGAAGACTGGGGCCGAGAAGGGACACGGCCAGGTGCTTGCGTCATGGTGAGGAGCAGAACATTCCCTGGCACAGACAGAGCAATTCCTAGAAAACACAAAATAGCTCCTTTTGTATGGCTGCTGTCCTAGGTCACAGCCAAATGTCACATCGTCAGTTAGTACAGACCAACCCACGAGGGGGTGGTGAGGGAGTGGAAATATAGATTCCTCAGATATTTTTTTTTCTTTTTAAAGGTTTTATTTATTTATTTGAGAGAGAGAGGAAGCACGAGCATGGAGGAGGGGCAGAGGCAGAGGGAGAAGCAGGCTCCCCACTGAGCAGGGAGCCAGAGCTGGGACTTGATCCCAGGACCCTGGGATCATGACCTGAGTCGAAGGCAGACACATAACCCTCGGAGCCACCCAGGTGCCCCTGAGATTCTTACCAAAGAAATAAGAATCAGATATTTAGGAGAATGATCCCAGACCTCAATAGAAAAGTTGTTTTTTTTTTCCTTTTGAAAAGCATGCAATGAAAAATTTCCAAATGTGAATAGTACTTACAGTTGTAATTACATGTGAATTTTCTTAATTTGCTCTATATTTTTACAGTGTTAAGAACATACTTAGCGCTGTTTAAGAATTGTTCTCAGGTGGAGTGCAGACACACATCCCCGCTGATGTTCGCAGGCCCCACACTCCACTCAGATTTGCTCAGGACCTAAAACTGCCCTAAAAAATCCAAGTCTAGTTTGTAGAAATGGAACTGGCAGGAAACACTGAAATTCTGAAGTGATTACCAGGCTTCCCCCCCCCAAAAAAAAAGTGTCTCATGTTCAGATAATAAAAATGTTTGCGATCGCGACAGTTAAAATGCAAGATGTTGCCCTTACACAATGAAGTGATTCTTGGAATGAGGTTAAGCAAAGGGCATCTGAGGACGGCTTATTGCTCAAGATATACGGACACGCATTTTATGTTGCTTCTATAGGAAGCCTGTTTCTTACTGGAGTATTTGCTGTGGCTGTTAGAGATGAAAAATATTAGTTACTTGTGTTTTTCCCCTAAAAAAAATAAAAACAAAAACAAAAAAAACAAAAAACCAAAACCCACAAAGCTCTCTAAGTCAACAACGATGGTGGCCCATTTTTCGTTTCACAAGTAGATCACCAAGATCAACTTTACAGTTTTATGGCCAGCAGATGTAAGGGCATTTTTATCCACACGGATTCAGCCCTAGTACCGCTAAGCCTCCCATTCCCTGAAAGGAACCGTGTTTAGAATATTCTACGGGGATTTTTAAAAAGATCCTTCCTCTGTAATAAAGAAGACTCCTCAACCCTGACCCATGGCCTCTCAGGTTGTGGCACTCGGCTCGCTAGGCTGCCGCAGCCCGCTGCCCCGCCTGGAGGTCATTAGGACGCCCCCTGCTCATCACGGGGCCCTAGACAAAAGCCTCCCGCTCCATGAGGTCTTCCCAGATCTCTCCACTGGAGCCAAGCCCTCCCGTCCCTTCATGGCACATGAGTCTCATCACACGGCCCTCTCGCTCACTGACTTCAAGTCCGTTGTCCCACTGTGTCCCTGGAGCCTCAGACCCAGTCGTCCTGCGGCTGGAGCTCCGCTGGACCCTGGGGATGGTGGTTGGCAGCAGCAGTGGGAGCTGTCGCCGTCCCAATACGTCCCTGCATTTGCCTTGCTCTTTATACTTTCATCTCCTTGGACACTTGTCAGCTGGGGCGGCCGGGCGCATGACATGGAACCGGGACCCAAATAAGCGGGATTTGTGTTTTTTTATATGATAGAAAATTCTGTCACAACGCTGGTGACAGGGAAAAGTGGCCACACCTGTTGCATAGACTTTTCCAGATAAACTCTTTTATTACAAAAACTGTACCTTTGGAAACAAGAAGCATGAAGGGTGAGCCCAGAAGTCCCCAGAAGCCACTGCCCGAGTGCAGGGGCTGACGTCCCGCAGCGGCGTCTTCTGCCAGTCCCACGGGACGCATGGTTTCTACTGAGTTTACCGCACGCCATTGGCACAGGTAGGAGCTGCTCACCCCCCATCCCTCCTATGTCGTTGCAAAGACTGACTAGGCACGTGATGCTTATTAAGAAGTCCGCTCCGTGAGGACAGCTGCGGCCGTAGGACGCTGTCGGCACAGGGACTCTCGTTCCTCATGTTCACAGCACACCTGTGTCAGGGCAGCTCCTAGCCGGACCCGGTCTTCAGCTGGTCCTCAAGGACTCAGGGCCACTGAGAAGCAGGCTCCTTCTCTCACTCACCGTGGTGTTTAGCCACAGAAGCTTCTGCATCGGAAACCCGCTTCCCGCTCTCGTCCCGCGTCGGGTGGAGTCCTCCATGAGGAAGGAAATGTCCTCTATCCTGCTCTGTCTGTGTGGCGGCCACTAGCCTCACGTGGCTCGTCAGCCCTCAAAACGGGGCTAGCCTGACCAAAGAACTCTGCGTTTGAGTTTATTTCGTTTTGATTCGATGTAAACGACCCCGCATGGCTCATGGCTGTGGCGATGGCACAGGGACGTGAACTAAACAGGAGGGTCACGCGTTTGCCTTCACCCAGGACGTCTTCACCCACGAGGCCATCTGCGTTTCTAACAGACTGTTGCCGAGCGCTCGTACATGCCACATAGGTGATTGGCATCTGTGCGTCTGCGCACCCCTGTCGGGTCATTTCTGGTGGCCCTGCTGTCGATGTTTGTTTGACAACTTTAGATCCCTTGGAAGTGTAAGTTACACCGCTCCGCGGAGCGGGGAGGAGCCGTGTGCGAGGGCGGGGTGACGGCATTCGGAGGACGGCTGTCCCGGCTGCCCATGGGGCGGCCCTGCGATGGCCAGCCACCGTGGCTCTTCCTTGGGGAAAGGGGGACACCGAGGAGCCCCAGCATGCCTCGTCTGGACCTGCACTGGGGGATCAGATGTGCAAAACACAGGACTGCCGCTCAGGTTCATAATTCCCAGCCGATTGCTGACCTAAGACCACCGAGCAGCAACTCCCATCCGAGACTCGTTGCCGGAGTCCTGTCCCTGACGAGGTCCTTGGCTCTGCAGCTTTATGCACAAGGGGAGACTGACGACAAGCCAGACATCTGAAGCCGTTTGAATCCAGGATGAAGGCATGACTCCAACGGTGACTCACCAGCATCTGCTCTGTGCCAGACTCCGGACTAAGGTCCGAGCATACAGACATGAACACCCATCACAGGTCTGATTCGTGTCTTATGACCTAATCATTCTGTAGACCCCAAACCCACCTCCCCGTGCACGAACCAGTGCACTATGAAGGCTCTACAGATCTAAGAGCCACGTTACTACTAGGCAAGAGAAGAAAGCTTGGGTTTTGTGCTGACAGAAGCAGAGAGAGCAAAGGAATGGGAATCTACTCGTACTCCAGCGTTTCCAATTTGTTCTGGGCACCCTGCCCTCTGGAAAGCCCCTTGGATCTGTCGCCATGGGAAGTGCCACAGAGCACACCCAGCCCGGCCCTCCGTGGTCTCACGTCCGGTGCAAGAGATGACGGATGAGACACAAGAAATTTTTCTTGAAAATGAAAAGAATGAGGCATGTAATCAACCAGAGTGTCTAATGGCTTTTTTTGCTTGTTTGTTTCTCTTTTCTAGGGCTTATCACCGACTATAGGGTAAGTGGAAGATATCTCTTGCTGAGTCCAGGTCTCAGATAATGGAAAATGTGAATGCAGCGTTGGGTGCTGTCAATGGCTGTCACTCCTGCTGTCCCCAGTTGTGCTCAGGATCAGAGTCATGCCAGAAGACACCCTCTCCCTGGGTCCTAACTAGCAAAGCAAGCCAGGCGGTGGACAGCTCTGCTCAGCCCACCGGCTCCAGGTTTTGGGTTAGGAGGAAACGATTTGCCTGCCCCTCCAGCAAGAGGCAGGAAACTCTGCACTCAGACTCCCCATGAGGACAGGCACCATCCTGACGGCCAGCCTCCTTTCTCAGCCAGGCGCTATGTACTGCACTGAGCTTCTCACAGATGAGCGAGGCCCCCTTCCTCCCTCCCAGACCCCAAGGCTAGCGGGGGAGACAGGGCACAGATGGTCACACACACCAGGACGACCGTTCTGCACACCACCGGGAGCTGCTGTTCTGGGACGGATCTCCATTGTGTTGCTTCCTTTCTAGTGGCTCTTTCTGACCTGAGGGAAAATGTTCCAAGTCCTCAGCTAGCCCTTGGTAGTCCAGCTTCTCCTTATGCCATTTCTAATGCCCTGTGATGACGAAGTCCCAGGCTTCATGTTCCACCATCTCATGAATTGTATGTCATGTGTGGACGGTTTTCAGTGGGTCCACCTGCTGATCCTGAAGGACCTGCGTCCGGGCAGCAGCCGGCCCTCACTGACGTCCACCGGGCTCGGGAGATCCTCCTGGATAAATGTGCGTCCTGTGCTGCGGCAACCCCCAGCAGGAGGCAGGGGAAGGCACAGGGACATTCTCAGCAGATGTTTCATGCGTAATGAATAAATAGATGAAATTTACGGAGGATCAGATTAGAAGGATGGGGGGATTATTTTGGAGCCTAGAGTCTTCTAAAAACTGATGCACTTAAGTTAGTCCTTAGAATAGCATCTCCACGAAGTAGGAGAGGTCACATGGGAGAAATGCAGGGCATTCCCGCCAGGAAAGAACACACAGAGCCGGAGCGTGGGAGCCTGTGTCTGGGCTCTGGACGTGCAAAGCGCCTGGGGCACCAGTCTTACGCTATGAGTATTGTTCCTTTCATCCCCTCATCACAGGCACAAGTGTCACCTACCTCCCACCTGACCCTCTCCCTGTGCCGCAACCCTATAGGGCCCCTGACCAGTCTTACTACTATCTTAGCTGGAAGGTAGGGACATCTTTCCTTTTCGACGTGCTTGTAAACACCTCTGGAGCTCTTTTATGATTTTTTCCTTTAGAGTGAATTCTGGGCCAATGCCCTGGAGCCCAAGAGCTTCCTTGACGAGGGAGTGCTGGGCTCAGCAGGCGAGAGAGAGAATATCATAGAACATCATCATTTTGTTCAAAGACATTGGAAGCCCCGGCCTGAGGGGGTCACAGCCTCCAGGCCTTGGAGGAGACCCTGGGATTCTGGGCCATCTACCAGGCTAGTTCAGGAAGTGTGGGATGAAAGGGGCAAGCAGCCCCTTGGCAGGACTGTGGACAGTCAAAGGGTGGGGACATGAGGACAGTCTCAGCACCAAGAGGAGGGAGCTGGGAACACCTTGCCAAGGGGTTTCACATCCTGTCTGCTCACGAACGGCAGGCCGGAGATGGAAAGGTAGCGCCATTTGCCTTCAACGGACCTGGTCTTGGACAAAGTGAGCATCGTTATACCCAGTTCACAGATACGCGTGTGCTAAGGGAAGGTCTAGTCTGTGCCCCCCTCCCCCCTGTAGCCCCGCATCCCCCAGGCCCTTCTGGAAGCTCCACCCCGCAAGGGAAGGTCCGGGGAACAGAGAGGGATCCTGAGCTGCCTTTGGCATCTTCCTTGTAAATGCCAGAACGTGACAATATGGAGAGTCACAGTGAAGCGTCCCTGCTCTATGGTCCCAGACGGCCCCATGGCCCTCCTTCCCCTCTGGGTCCCTTCTTGCTGGCCTTAGTACATTTACAACCATTGGAGAGCCCCACAGCTGGAGGAGTGCTGACCAGCTGCGAACTGAGGACAAACTAAGGAGACCTTGTTTGAAGACCAGCACACTGGGGTTGCACTTTCTAGTGACCGTCTTGCAGGTCATTCTGTGGCAGCTGGCAGGCAGGCAGAGAATCTGTTGCTCTGGGAGGGGGTGCCGGGACATCACAGGGAGCACGCTGGGCAGGAGGTGTGGGTTTGAGCTTCCTACCTTCCTCCTTCCTGCAGATGGAGTGGCCAGCGAGGAACCCCCTCTCGTGCCCCTGCTGGGTGGTGAGCTCCATCCAGCACGCACTCCACAAACATGCTCCGTGAACACAGCACCTCCCCAGTAGCAGTCTTCCATCCTCATCTGTCTTGTTGCTTTGCGAAGACTCTAGCTGCAGACTCTGCTCACCCCACCGTCAGCTTTCCCATCCACAGTGGCACATGACGGCTGGCCAGGGGACCTCCAGGGAGTGAGCTGCCTCGAGAGAAACAGGTGCCCCCCAGGCCCGAGGAAAGCTCTCGGCACTTTGCTCCCTGATGCAATGTTTTCTGTTCTCTTTCAGCACTGGCAGTTGCCTCTGGGCCGGAGGTTTCGCTCTTTGAAGATGTGGTTTGTTTTTAGGATGTACGGAGTCAAGGGGCTGCAGGCCCATATCCGCAAGGTGACGGTGCTTTCTTTATGTATCTGGGTCATATTGGGATGCTTTGGGGAGTGCAGAAACAAAGGGAGATGTCTGAAGAAGCAAATATCTGATGGTTAGTTTGGGCTACTGAGGTTCGGATCTTTAGAAGACAGTCAGTGCATGATTACGGACCTTCTGGACGCGTTCATGAAGATTATGGTCCAGGGGACTGCAAAGGGAACGCTCCCCACAGCCGGTCCTGTAGCAACATCTGGCCCTCCACAGGGCCAGGCAACTGTGGCCGGGCAGTGGCGAGAACTCAGGACATCTGGTTCCCAGGACAGCTAGCACAGGAGTCTTGGAGCTGCTCGGGATGGATGGCCTCTAACCCAGGGGCGCTCTGTGCACCCTGGAGCAGCAGCGCACGCATGGCCTTGGACCTTCCGGCGGGTGGGGGGGGGTCCCAGCAACCTCTGTCTGAATAAATGAACCACATGGCTGTGATGAGCACTACAAAGTGAGAACCGCTGGTCGACTTTGAGCCCCATCATCCTGCCTTTTATTTCTTTAGCAATCGAGGAAACTGAGGCCAGAGTATGAGCTGGGGACACCATCCCCCCCTGCCAAGGACCACCCATTTAGCTGGCTGCAGACGGCTACTGATTTCCAGCTGATTCCTGCCGTGCTGGCCTCCTTCCTCAGCCATGGTGCTGTCCTGAGGGACAGAGGTCCTTGGGCTTCATGGGGGCAGGGAACCTGTGGTATCTGTGGGAAAAGTGTATGTGAGATTATGGAACATGTCAAATATGATGAGGATTCCGCTTCTGTGGGGAAGGAAGAGAAGCAGTTTCTTTCTCCAGATGATTCCAGCTTTAAGCTCAGGGGCCACTGGGTGTGATTAGGCTGCTTCCTGTAAAAACACTCCATGCCTGCCTCTGAGCAGACTCCCATCCGGCTTACAGAGAGGGAGGGGATGGTCAAAGCCGTCTCTGGGGCAGGTGTCCCAGGTGTGGAGGTGGGGCGACATCTCCCAGCACCAGTCTTTGGTGCCCTCTAGTGGTCAGATTTATGCTGTGCCTGGGAGCTGCACAAATGCAAGAGGCTTCAGTCCCAAGGACGCTGGACACTTGCTTCTGCTCTAGAGTCCCTGAGCACTGTCATGAGAGCACCGAGCAGGGGCCCAGGGTGGGGGTGGGGTGGGGATGAGCAACAGGTGCACAGACCGTGGCAGGCTTGTTCTCAGTTCACAGACTGTTTGAAACCCCTTTGGGGCTTCATGAACACCTAGTTGTCAAATAAGGTGGTGAATTCAGTGAGAGGAAGGCATTTGTTGAATGTGGCGGGGACTGTCACTCTCATCCCTTGGTGACAACCAGCCAGAGCCCCACAGAAGCCGGAGCTTCGGTGTTGGGTTGCTGCGTTAGAATCACCCCCTTAGTTTCCTCATCTGCAGAGTGGGTACAACCGTGGTGTCACTCGCACCGTGAGCTGTGTGTGGACAGCATGGTGGCGGGGCACGCAGCCCTCAGCGCTGGGGCCACTCTCTCTTAACTCACATGTTTAAATACCCGTTACGATGTTCCTTCTGAAATTCTAACCAATTGTTTGGTGGGATTAAAAGTCCCCTGAACAGAAGAACATATTAGTTGGTGTTTCTCTTTCTTTCCCTTTTTTTGGTAAAGATTATTTATTTATTTGATTGAGAGAATGATGAAGGGAGGGACAGAGAGAGAAGCAGGCTGCCTGCAGAGCAGGGAGCCCGACTCGGAACTCCATCCCAGGACGCTGGGATCATGACCTGAGCCAAAGGCAGACACTTATCCGACTGAGCCCCCCAGGCGCCCAGTTGGTGTTTCTCTGAAGACACTAGTCCTTCTGTCAGGGGAGCGAGCTTCTTCCCAGCCTGCGTGGGAACCGCTGGCTGCTGGGTCACATCCACACTTGAGAAAAATGGCTAAGTGAGTGTATATGAATCACAGGTGTGCCATCTAGGAAGGTTTTCAAGGTGGCTGAGTCTGGAGCCGAGTACTGTCCAGAAACTGAGACAGATGCTCTTCCCTTTCCAGCACGTCCGGCTGGCTCGCGAGTTTGAGTGTTTGGTGCGCCAGGATCCCCGCTTTGAAATCTGTGCAGAAGTCACTCTGGGGCTGGTCTGTTTTCGGCTAAAGGTATGTGTGTCCACTTCAGTCTTCATTCTCTTTGATGGTGACAGAGGAGAGATCATTCATCACCTCCATCTCCAAACTGGCATGCTAGTCTCCAGCAACCAGAGAAGTCAGCATGTGTTTCCCCATCTGGGGTTCACACCTCCCGGCCCTGACCCAGCCCGAGTGCCTGCAGGGCCCCGGGTGCCCTCCTCCAGGAGCTGTCCGCCCCTCCTCAGTCAGACTGAGACTTCTCGCTTGTGTAGACCCTTGGCCCTCGAATGCTCTCCACTTTCTCCACGCACGCATCTCTGTCTCTGGAATGCTCTGAGCACTAACCTGTGTGCGGGCTCTGTCCCAGCCCAGCTCCAGGCCCCAGCCCAGACCTGCCGATCCGGCATCTTAAGGAGCCCCTCCAGGTTGCCTGTGCACGCAGGGGTTTGAGAAATGCTGGTCTGTGACACTCTGCAGTCCTGCTGCCTGATGAAGAAGGTGCTCACTGCATTGGGGGAAGCTGGCCCAGAGGGGGGAGGGCACAGGCCATCTCTGCTGGGAATCATGACCACATTTCTGAGACGTCTCTGAAAGGTGCTGCACCCACAGGTGCCATATTATTCTATTTTGTACAAGGGAGACTGGCTGGGAGCCTCACCTGCCCATTCTCTCAAGCTGGCTGTGCCTTCCGTTCCATTGGCTTCCTTGTTCACGTGGGTGGAGGCCATCAGGAGGAGGAAGGGGAGCCCTGCTGCATGGTCAAGGTGCTGTCATCCGCTTACGATATCCTCCCCCTCGCTGGTCCTTGGAGCTTCAAGGCAGTAATGAGAACCAGTCCTGAGAAAGCCTGCGCTCTACAGAGAGAGTGGGGAGCTGGTGTTCCTGTGCAGGGCTCGGTGAGGGGGCTGTGAGCTCTGTGCAGAGTGCACAGTGGTGGGGCCTGCCCATGTGCAGGGGACAGGGGACCCTTCTGTCGTGGTAGGGCGTGGGGGAAGCCTCAGAGCATTGGCATCCCAGCAGCTGAGTCCCCAGAGTGGCCACGGGCTGCAGATCAGCTGACATCAATGTTTGGGGGCAGGCTTTGATGCCTTTGCCATGGAGAAGACGTTTCGTTTTGTTTTGACTGCCGGTGTTCTGGTCGGACTTCCATTTTTTATTTTTCACAGTTTTATTGGGATGTAATCCACACACCACTCACTTTGTCCATTTAAAGAACAGTTAGGAGGCGAGAGGCACTGACCACCCCCCAAAGCCGGAAATCTGTGTATAATTTTGACTCTCGTCAGACTGAACCTCTAACAGCCTACTGCTGACCAGCAGCCTTGCCCGTAGCACAGGGAGGGGTCCCCTATTTTGTATGCTGTGTGGATTATACGCTGCATCTTACCATAAAGCGAGCCAGAGAAGAGAAAATGTTAGGACGAAAATCACAAGGAGGAGAAAATACATGGGCTGTGTCGCGCTGGATTTATTGAAAAAAAAAAAAAATCCACGTGCAAGTGGACCTGTGCAGTTCCAACTGGTGTCTGCAAGGGTCAGCTGCACACGTGGTGAGTTTAGCGTAAGTGTGGGGACGGGCAGCCATCAACTCCCCCAGAGCAGAGCCCCCCATGCTGTCCTTGGGTGCCCCCAATCTGCTGTCGGGCTCTATGACCCCCAAACCCACCTGAGTGTGGTCCCGACCCCTTTTCTCCTGGGCGGCACAGTGCATCCCCCCATTCCAGAAGCCAGCAGAAGTGTCCCTCTGTGAATCTGCGTGTTCCTTCCGTTCCACTGATCGGGTTTCTTCTCCGGGAAGCTTGTTGTTCGGGCTCATGGTTCATGTTTCCGTCCCCACGTCTACGGGCTCCTCCTTATCTCCCTGTGCCGCGCTGCCCCGGTGTGGATTTCAAGTCCTCTACTGCATCCGAGGATTCAGATATATAGTGTGATTCCCCCTCCTCCTCCCCCTCCTCCCCTCCCCACCTCCCTCTTCTCTCCTTCTTCCTGTCCTCCCCCTCCACTCACCCTTCTCCCCCCTCCCTCCTCTTCTTTCTTTCCCTCCTCCCTTCGTCTCCCCACTTCCTCTTCCTCCCCTTCCCCTCCTTCTGCTGGTCGTCCCCCTCCCCCTCCTCTCCTTCTTCTCTTCCTCCTGCCCCTCCCCCCCTCTCCTCCTTCTCTTAGATACTCTCCATGCTTGGCTTCTTACTGTATTTAAGAGAAGACAGACCTTGCCTAATCCATTTGAAAATGGGAAGGACGTTTTCCTAAATAATGTGTTTTTCATTTCTGTTAAATTTCTTCTTTTAATTTCTGTTTTAATTTCTTCTGAGTCTTTAATTTCTGCTGAGTCTTCCTGGTCAAATCCCGCTGCTTTGTCTCATATGTCCTTCCTTCTCTAGCCTCATCCTCGAATAGGACAGGCTTTGTCTAGACCCGGCATGTCAAGGGCTTCTGAACTGCCTTTGTCCCAGTGCCTCTCCACGGGGCACCAGCAGGAGCCCCACTGAGGCCCACAGCCAGCAGCTGGGAGGGTCTGCACGGGTCCATAGGCCAGTGCCCTGTGTCTGGCAGGTGTTGGAGTGGGACTGGACTCCTCCTCCCACTGTTCTTCCTGCTTCTCAGTTCTCAAGACAGAGTGAGAAGGCAAATGAGAGAGCCCTGTGAGGGTCGCAGAGCAGGGATGAGAGGCCCACTTCCCTCCCCCTTTTACCTTTGATGATGGGGCTTAGGGCCCTGCAGGTGCTGCCTGGAAAGAGAAGAAAGTTGACAGTAGCTGGGGAGGAGGACACAGGAATGGGAGAGGGGCTGTGGGGGCAGCGGCACCTAGCAGGGGAAGGGAAGCCCCCCAGCCACCCACCTGGTGGCGTCAGTGTCTGCTGCCTGGCCCAGGAAGTGGGGGGGGCTGCTCCTTTCTAGATGGGGAGAGTCCACCAATGTCCCCTTAGTCCTCTAGTTCCTGGGCAGTTTTCCCAGAGTCTACGTTGACTGTGCTCTGGTTCTGTGTTGCTGAGATTTCTTCTATATGTTTTGGTGGGACCCCTCACTGGTGTGGTTTGAAGCCTCAGCTACCATTTAAGCTCATCAACATGTAGATGTAGTTTAAGCATCACATGCCTAGGAAACTCCATTTTTCTTGAAAAGGCTGGTCCGTGAAACAGTCACCTTTGGATAGTAATTCAACCCTGAAGAACCTGTCTTGTAGGGGAGGCTAGAGTCTTTCACGGCCACGTAAGTCTCATTGAGCTGAATTTCTTACCCTCGTAAAAGAAAGGCAAGGGGTACAGCCTCTCTCATGGATGCAGAGCAGTATTGCCGAATGCCGGCCTTCCTTGGTGACCCATTGAAGTCCAAGTCCTTGGGGACCTCAGCGGGGCCCCTCTGTCCATCTCTGCAGGGTTCCAACAAACTGAACGAGGACCTTCTGGAAAGGATCAACAGTGCCAAGAAAATCCACCTGGTCCCCTGTCACCTCGGAGACAAGTTCGTGCTGCGATTTGCCATCTGCTCCCGCTTCGTGGAGCTCACCCACGTGCAGCGGAGCTGGGAGCACATCAGACAGCTGACCACCGACCTGCTGAGAGCCGAGAAGGACTAGACTCCCGAGCTGCAGGGAAGCTGCTTCCGGTAAGCCTAAGCCGTCCCCCAGCTCTGCCACTCCACGCTGCCGCCTGGATTTCCTCTACCTCCTCTTTCAGAGGAAGGAGCTGCCCCCTGCTGTGATCACTTTGGGGGGCCAGGTTAATTTGCAATGAAATCCTGAATATAAGGGCTTTACTCATGCTTGCTTGAGATTAGCCTATCAAATCCACATGGTCATAACTCCAAGAAAGAGAAGGAACTATCCCCATTTCATGGAGGGTAGACACTGGCACAGATGCTGGCTGGCATTGGTAACATGTGTCCAAGAGAAGCCAGGCCAGCCTCTCAATCTCGTGGCTCACAGTTCATATCCGTCTACGATGCACGGTTCCCTCCAGCTCACTAGAGAAATAACATATTCTTCCTCTGCATTCTAATGAGAAGTATACAAAATACTGATTCTTTAATTTTTTTGAATGTAGCCATATGTTCACATATATGTTTTCCCCATAGAGATCAGAAGTTGAAAAGAACTCTATCTGAACACTGGAAAGAGGAGGAAATAAACATTATTCAGGCTCCGAGGACCCAAGCCTGCATGTGACCTCACCCTTCTTTCTGTGAAGTTCTCCAGAAGCTCGTGATTATATCTGTTCACTCTCGTACCAATGAAAAAAACGTGACTCACTACAATCCCGGTGCATGTAGCTTTTATTCATCATTCAACTGTGACTTTTCTTGATTAAGAAATCATAGGTTTTCGCGCTCTTGAAGTCGTCAGTGGTGGGAGAGGCTTACTGAGATATTTTCCAGGATATTCTAGGATTGTGGGACTTGAGATTATACCTGTGGTCTTTAAATTGTTCTGTCATGTGGCTCAATGCTTAATAAACTATTTGCAGTGACGTGGTGACTGTGCCCGGTAAGCATTTTTTGGTTCTGTGTTGTACCCAATTCATTGTAGTAATGTGCACTTAACCTTTCAAAACGGCTGAAGATATGGATGGCATCCTTGGATATTTTTAAAAGGATTTTTAGTTATTTATTGGAGAGAGCAAGAAAGGGAGAACAAGTCAAGGGAGCAGCAGTGGGAGAAGCAGGCTCCCCTCTGAGCACGGAGTCTGATGTGGGACTCCATCCAGGACCCTGAGATCATGACCTGAGCTCAAGGCAGACGCTTAACCAACTGAGCCACCCATCCTTGGGTATTTTTATTTTTTTATTTTTTATTTATTTTTAAAAGATTTTATTTACTTATTTGACACAGATAGAGAGATCACAAGTAGGCAGAGAGGGAGGCAGAGAGAGAGGGGGAAGCAGGCTCCCTGTTGAGCAGAGAGCCCGATGCGGGGCTCGATCCTAGGACCCTGAGACCATGACCTGATCCGAAGGCAGAGGCTTTAACCCACGAAGCCACCCAGGTGCCCCCCCCCTGGGTATTTTTAAATGGTATTCTTTGCACCAAAAAATGTTAATTGAGTATCTATTATATGTCAGGGGCTGTTCTCAATGCATTAGGAACATACAGGTTTTACTTAGAGATGACTCCAACTCTTGAAGAAATAAATTCAGAGCCAGGACTCACAATCGCAGACCAAATTCTACTGGTGTGTGGGGAAAGGTTACTTTCTAGGGCCTTGATTTCTTTGTCCAAGGACCAATGATCAGTCCGTCTGCCCCATGGTCTCATTAACAATAAACAACCAGAATGCTCTTGTAAACGTAAACACCCATAAGATGCAGTATTTACTTGAATAGCCTATCTTTGTTTGAAACCATTTTTGCTGGTACAAACACTTGAATTTTAATCCCACGATGAGTTCTTGTCTTTTAGAGACGATTTAACTATTGAAAGCAAAGCACTCTCGGAAAAGGCCCTGCTACTATTGATAAGTCTATTTGAATTTCAAAAGTCTCTGATACCTAAATATAATGAAATGATCTGCTTTTCAGGAATCTGGAAATCTGTCAGAGGCTATGTAGTTCCCCAACTTACACATAAGGTCATTCGTTCTCTATTCATCAGTGAACCAGACCTGCCATCCATCGAGGTGTGAGGACATGGGATGGGCCTCTAGGGCCACTGGGACCTCGCGTTAAGAGCTGTAGGGTGTTGAACACTCAGATCATTGAGTTGAGGTGGAAGTGATTCTGTTCTGCAATGAGATGGTTTGCACCTGAGTATGCTCTTGAGCTAAGATTGTTGCAGAATGAGGTCTCCAGAATGAGCCACCAAAGTCACTGATGCCAGCTCCTGGCTTCTGTGGAAGTCTACACTGAGAAGATGGTGGAGGCCAGAGTCCCAGGCAAGAGCTTGGGTGGCAGGTGACAACAGGGGTGGTGCTGGGAGCTGTGCACAGATAGGAGGCAAGAAGCCAGTTGAATGGCCGAGGGGCTCCTCTCTCAGAGCTCTGCTGGGTCTTTCTGGTGGAGATTCTCAGACATCCACATCGATGTAGACCCAACAGAGATGAAAGCTTGTCTGACTTTTGGCTCATTTTTCGGCAAATCATCACAGTTCACCCCACCTCCTGACCTCTCCAGGCATCTAGGGGATGGAGCCATCAGGCCAAACCACTGAGCATAGATACAGCAAGAAGCACTGTCTTCCTGTGTATTAAACAAACAGGCACTCAGAGCATGTGATCCATGCCAGGCACCTTTCTCAATATTTTTGAAATATTTACCTTATTCCTATTTTAAAATTCTCAGTTATCACTTCCATGGTACAGATGAGAAAAACCTTGTCAAGGTTTATCAAGAGGTTTAGTGGCTTGTCCCAGGTTCTCGCTGCTAATTGGTGACCAAGCTAGGACTAGAACTCGGCCATCCTGGTTCTAGGATCCACACTCTTGCCCACTCAACTGGGCGGCCAAATCTCCTGTCTGGTCTTCAGGGTGAACTATTTCTCAGAGGAAGTGGCGCGAAGCCATTCATTCTCTTCTGGGAAGAGCCCATTTTCACCTCCCAGGTCGAGTCTTGGCTCCCGACTCCAACCTGACAATCCCCAAAAAGCCCCTAGTTGATAAAGGTCTGGATTACTCAGCCTAATCTCCAATCTGCATAGCATCTGGACGTAAATATACATCTGGTTTGGGGTCACGACGTGTCATAGACCACTGCTGGCACCGGAAGTCGATGCAAAGCCTGTTGCCTTCTGGCCTTTGATAATGGCGCCTCCTGCTTGGTGTTGGAAAAATCCCTGATGGCACGACACAAGCAGATTCTCATACCCAAACTGCATTTAGTCATAACACTTCTGACACCAAATGAGATTTTTTCCTCCTGGCACCAAATAGCGGTATCTCTGCCAAGGCTGCTTCTCCAACTCTCTGACACCATCTAACTGGAGTTACTGTCCGATCCCATAGTTAAGGGCTCAGAACCATAAGTTGCCCTCCACCTGAGGCTGGTCCCAATCCCGGGCCTCCCGTACTTCTGACGGATCGGCTGTAAAGCAGGGGTTCCCATGACCCCCTCCTTAGGTTCAGTGCCTTGCTAGAACAGCTCACAGACGCAAGATGCCATTTCAATCATATTTACCCCTTTATTATAAAGGATAAGGCTCAGGGACAGCCAACCAGAAGATCTGCACAGGGCAAGGTATGGAGAAGGCGGATGGAGCTTCCACACCCTCTGAGAGCACTACTCCCTCTCCTAGCACCTGCATGTGTTCCCCCAGCTTGGAAACTCTCCCAGCTCTGTCATTTGGGTGTTTTTATGGTGGATCCATGACATGGGCATGGTTGATTAAATCACTGACCATGGGTGATGAGCTCAATCTCCCCCAGAATTCTGGAGGCAGGGCTGGACATCACAAACCTCTAATGACACCTGGTCTCCTCAGTGTCCAGCCCCCATCTGATTCTATCTAGGGGCCAACCAAGAGTCACCCCATTTTGAGCAAAAGCGCCTCCTGTCACCCACACATTTCTAGAGGTTTCGGAGCTCCGCATCAGGTATCGGAGACAAAACCCAAGAATGTGTTGTTCTCATTGCATCACACTAAGAAAATCTCCTGGAATCATGTCTCTTCTCCAAAATGTGACAAACGGCAAAACTTTCTGGGACAGAAGACGTTCACACAGGACAGCTTCGTGCCATGTTGAAAGGAGTTTGTGAAAATGTCCAAGACAGAACAGAGAAGTGGGAGGTCACTGAGCACCTCTTGCTCATCATAAGGGGAGAAGACCCAGAGGGAAGGCAGGTTTAAAGTGTCCACCGACTTTGTCCCTGTGCCCCTAACTTGCGAGGCCCTTAGGCTCAGTACATTAGAAACTGCTGATATTTTATCCAGAAAGCCTGTGTTTGAGAGCAGGCATGGAAATTGCCTGGTGACCTTTTGCTCTAATGATTATTGCTTTTCTGAATCGTGTAAATCCCCAAGGATCAAATATTAGCAACTGTTTTACTTTTTCTTTTTTATTGCGCTCAATACCAGAATCTTTTTCCTCAGCACCTCTGTGCTGCCTCCTGCCCATGGAGTCAGCTTTCCGGGGTTGTGCTGTGCTGCCTCCTATCACCTCTACTTGTCATAAATAATAGAAACAAATTACTAAGAAAGTACTGTGAGAACACGTCGCCTGCCTCAGCTGGGTCAGTCTGGAACTACTATTTTAGAGAAACTTGTGTGTTTCTTCTCTAAGCAGAGAGGTGACACAGATGGTTGAGGGAAGAGAGAAGAGGAGGAAACAGAGCAGGGTTACTTATAGGAGACCATGGGGGTCCAAGGGCGTCCCAAATGCAGACCCCCAAACCTCACCATTTATGGTGATACCCCCCACCCCCGTGCCATTAGAGGGAAACTGATTCATGTGAGGAGGTTTATAAAAGGAAGGCTATCCAGGGGGAAAGACTCAAGAGAGAGGACTAGGTGCCGGTCTTCAAATGTACACCCCTCTTGCACGAAGAGGCTTTGTGCCTCCAGAGAGTGACATGGAGGGAGGGAGGTTATGTTTCAACATGGAGACCTCAAAAGATGGCTGTGAGCGCACAAGATCTCCTTTTTCAGAGGCAGCAAGTTCTCCACCCCTGCGGGTGTTCAAGTGGTAAAGGAAACTCCTCCAGGGGATGGAAAACCTGCCACCTTTGAGCCCTCTCCTACATCTGCGATTCAAGGGTCTATGAAGACCAGAGAAGTTGGGCTGATTGGTCAAACAGCAAGGGTAAGGAGCACAGAAACTGGAACCACCGCCCCAGGACGGGTTCTTCTTCATTGACAAGCAACTCGTGCTGAGCACAGGGCTTACCTGACGGTAATAACGCCCGGGACTTGGGCGGAGCTTACTGGAGCCATTCTCATCCAAAGGCCCTTCAGCGATAGACTCGGTTTGGCCCCTCAAGATCCCCGGATGTAGCTCTTGCGCCGTGGGGCTGGGATTTGAACCCCAGAAAGCTGACTCCATGGGCCATGCTCTTAATTACTCCCCCAGCCTGCCCCTAGACCATCAGAATGCAGTCTATTGCTTTCCTAGGGTTGTGGGAACAAAGCACTATAAAACTAGGAGACTTAAAACAACAGAAAATAATTCTCTCAAAGTGCTGGAGACCAGAATCCCGAAATGAGGGTGTCCTTAGGGCCACGTTACTTCTGCAGCCTCCGACGGAGGGTCCCTCCTCCCCACTCCAGCTCTGGAGGCCGCAGATGCTCCCTGGTTTAGGAGTGCATATTACTCCAATCTCCGCCACCCCTCTGTACTTCTCTCTTCTTTATAAATCATCAGGCGCACTGGATTAAGACCCAGCCTGGGCCAGTATGACTCGAGTGCGTCTGCAAAGACCCTGCATCCAAAAACCATCACATTCCCGGATACCAGAGGTTAGAACTTCAGGATATCTTTTGGGAACACAATTCAGCCCACAGCCTGTACGGCATCAGAGAGGAAGCAGCTAGAAGTGCTGACTCAGGTTGGCTGTGATGTTCCAGAAAAAAGGACCGAAGCACATTGTCCTCAGTGCTCTGCCTACCCCATTTCCGTTAACCGCGGCGAGGCCACGTCAGGCTCCTCCCCAGGGCTCTTGTGATGCGTTCAGTGCAGCCGGTCAAAGTCTTTTCTGGGATTGTACCTGCATTCCATCCAGATCCACGCAGGTCTTCCTGCCCCACGGAGGGCAGGAGTACCGCCTTGTCACCGAGCTAGGGAGACGCTAGTATTGAAGTCAGTGAGAATCCAGCCACACACAGGAACCTGGCCATGAAGGAACTGGGCTCGGGTTTGGCTGTTTCACCTGCCTCCAGTCCTGTCTATGTGCTCAAACCATCCACCTCCCTACCAGCAATCCCACACATTGACAAACACATCTCTTTTAAACTTCAAGAAAGTAACTTTCCTTGCACACAGGAATGCACATTATTTGGGGCCATAGTCTCTCTGTGCTGAAAAACAAATGAGATCACTGAAGTGTGCACCAGCATTTCCTTGAGACCATGTTTATAATATTCATGAACATGGAAATGTGCAGCCATCTCCCAGAATCCCTCACACGAAGAACCTGCACTCTGTTTGCTATAGGTGGAAAATGCTTCTCTTGCAGGTTCAAAAAAATTCTACCCAGAAGAAAGAACATGGTCTACGGTCTTGGAAGGAAAGTTTAGCTGCCTAGCTCAGGTAGCAAAGTCTTCCAATCCCAACAACCATGTTCACGGAGCAGTAAGTACAGGACAGCATCACAGATTAGGTGAACATCTGCATTGTGCCAGCTGCTGCTCTGATGATTTATGGTGTCGCATGTTAACTCTATCCTTAGCACAGCTTCTGAGTTAGACAAGTTTATTCCCCTTTCACAGATGAGGAGTTCCCTTCAGGGAGAGCATGGAAGTGACTTATACTTCTGCCAGCTATGCAGGAAGATGGAGACTGTAGGATTGGGAAATGCTTTTGTATCAAAGGCACAAAAGTGAAATGGCAATGCCCATGTCACCTGCTGAAAAACAGCTGCGGACACCGTACATGTAATTCATTATTTGAGCAAAAAACTCTTAGGTGGGTAAGACAGCGGTTTCTGTGAATTCTCCAAATGCTATCATTAAAATATTAGTGATAAAAGTCACCAAAAATTGCCAGTTACCCTAATAATATTTATTTAAACTTACTGCCAATTACCCTAAGAGCATATGCTGATGTCTAAATATGCAAGCAGAAAAACAGCTAGTTAACATGCAACTAAGCCTGGAGATAAGAGTTTTCATTTTCATCTCCTTTTATTTTCATTCTCTATATTTTGAGTAATTATAATAATTAGAAAATGAGCTAATAAATTATGAACCTTTAGAATAAAAAGTCTGTTATTCCTACTTCAGCTAAGAAATGAATTGTGAGTGATCTCCCTTGTGATCATCTATTTACAAAAATATATTGTCCAATCCCTTTTGTTTTGTGCCCATCTAAAGAACTGTTAGAAGAAAGGTCTTTGGAATTTTTTCTTTTTTTTTGCCTCAAATTTCTTCAGATCTTGCATTTAAATGTCACGTACCATCATTTTCTCCCTCCCCTGTGCCCATATTCAGGGTGGGATAACCCAAGATCGGGGAGACTAGGAGAGGAAGAGGAAGGCTACCAGGGTTTCCTGGGAAAAGGTTTCTTCCTTTATTGTGAAAGAGAAGTATTCAGGGGTGAAAGGTCTTTCCTAGTTTGGCCCCTTTTCCCCACTATAAATGGGGCTGTGTGAAGCTGGGTTCCTTGACTGTGGGGGTCTTCTCAGAACAGTGAGGTGACAGGCCTGGAGGGGGAAGTCACCGTAGGTGGTGGGGTGGGAGAAAGACGGCAGAATGGAAATACGTACCCTCTGGACATCCTTAGGGCTGTGATCAAACCCGGAACTGTCTCCAGAGTTATGAGGTGACACGATGACACTAGTGACAGGACAGGTGGCTGCCAGTGGCTATTCTGTTGCTCGGTCTGAAACGCAATTCGCTAAACTCATCTGGGCATGCCACTGCCCTCTGAAGCCTCGCTCCAAAACAAAGTCCAAGGCAATGATGGAGCGTTTTCCAAAGGCTTCCTCCCAGGAAAGTGTCCCTAAAGAGTGCAGGGCTGGGGCGGGGAGTGCTGGCTGAGGGACAGGTCGGAGTTGACAGACTCAGGGAGAGCCTGATTCCCTTATTCCATCTGAAAAACGCATGTCGATTTGCACCTGCCTCTACTCGGTCCTCTCAGCCAGTGGGTAACCTTCGCCCAGAACGACATGCTAACGTGGAAAGGGCAACGGCCACGGGCCCGCGGGGACCCGGCCTCCACTTGCTCCGAGGAGGGCTACTGCCCCCCCCCACCCCCTCCCGCGTCAAAGAGACCTGACCGCGCCTCCACCGGCCTGGGCCCGGCCTGCGGCTGCACCGCGATCCCTGAGCTGCCAGGTGGAGCGCCGACGAGGCGCCTTCTGCGGGGGTCCTGCGCACTGCGCTCCGCCCACCGCGCCTCCGAGTCTGCAGGTCGGAGGCCAGAAAACAGGAGGCGCAGGTGCAACGAAATGATGCGCATCCTTTTCTGCGAACCGGCCGCTGCCAGCCCGCTTCGGGACCTCAGCCTGCACCGCCCGCCCGGAGTGCCCGCCCCGCCCACCGCTCCGCGCCCCCGTCGCCCCCCGCCCCGCCCACCGCTCCGCGCCCCCGACCCCCCCGCCCCGCCCACCGCTCCGCGCCCCCGTCCCCCCCGCCCCGCCCACCGCTCCGCGCCCCCGTCCCCCCCGCCCCGCCCACCGCTCCGCGCCCCCGTCCCCCCCGCCCCGCCCACCGCTCCGCGCCCCCGTCCCCCCCGCCCTGCCCACCGCTCCGCGTCCCCCCCGCCCCGCCCACC